AGACACAAAAAGTAAATTGAAAGAATGTGAAATCAAGGTCTAGCAAGAAGAAGGGACTTATATAAGTCAGTGTAAGTAAATAAATAAAGATCAAGAAATTAATGAGACCAAGGAGTGACAAGTCCCTTGGATTCTTTAAAAGATGAAGTTGCAGAAATGATTGTTGCATTTTGTTTTAATCTTGCCAAATTCCTTACATTGTTGAACAGATCCCAAGGCTTGGAACACAGAAAACATAACCCTGCTGCTTAATAAAGAAGGAATAGAGAAAACGAGGGACCACAAGCCAGTTAACCTAACGTTATGAGTAGGCAAAATGTGATAATCTATTATTAGGGACATGTAACAGGGCACTTTGTTTAATCCATTATGATTCTCTTGTCAACACAGATTTATTAAAGGAAAACTGTGCAGTGACAAATCTTTTATTATTTTGAGAACGTGGATAGCAAAACTGGTTAGGAGGAACCAGTTAATACAGTGGTTTTAGATTCGAGTCCGATATGATCCTTCTTCAGATGCAGTTAATTTCTGAAGTTATTGAATTCGATATTTATGGTGGCTCAGTGGTAAACACTGCTGCCTCACAGTACCAGGTATGGTGTTCAATTCCAGCCTCAGGCAACTGGAGTGTGCAGTTTGCACATGTTGAGTTTACAAATTCAGTCCATGACTGCATGGGTTTCCTCCAGGTGATTTAGTTTCCTCACACAGTCCAAAGTTAAGCAGGTTAGGTGAATTGGTCATGGGAAATGCAGGGTTACAGGGATAGAGTGGGGGGCTGCGGTCTGGGTGGGATGCTATTCGGACGGTCAGTGTGGACTCGATGGGCTGAATGGCCTGCCTCCACACTATATGGATTCTATGATTTGGACCAGGAGGCTGTAAAGTGCCTAACTGCAAAATGAGTGTCACTCCTTGAACTTGTGTTGTGCTTCAATGGAACATTGCAGCAGGCCCAGGACAGAAATATTTGCACGAGAGTAAGGTAGTTTATTGAAATAGCAAGCAACTGGGAGGTCAGGGTCATTGCTATAGACTGAGCATTTGATCTCACCAATATCAAGGATGCTGCGTTATGAGCAGTGAATGCAATAGACTAGATTGAAAGCAGTGTGAGTGAAATGCTGCTTCACCTGCAAGATATGTTTGAGGGCATGGACAGTGAGGAGGGAGGTGGTGAATGGTCAAGTGTTAGATCTTTTGCAATTGCATGGGAAAGTACCACGGAGGAATGAGAAAGTATTAGGAGCAATGGACCAGGGTGCCATGGAGGGAATAGTACCTGCTAAATGCTGACAGTGGAGGGAAGGGAAAGATGTGCTTGGTGGTGGAATCCTGCTGCAGGTGGTAGAAATGGCAGAGGATGATCCTCTGAAGTGGAGTGGAAGTAGAGGGGGATGTGTCAGACAAGGATGAAGACCCTGTCAGAGTATGAGTGTGTGACAGCGTGAGTGTGTGTGTGTGTCAGAGTGTGCATGTGTGAGATTGTGTGTGTGAAAGCGTGCGTGTGTGAGACAGCATCAGTGGGGTGACAGCGTGAGTATGTGAGTGCACATTAGTGTGCGCACGAGTGGGTGCACGCGTGTGTGAGCGCGAGTTAGTTAGCAGAGTTTACAAGGATTGATACTTGGGCCTCAGCTATTTCCAAACTGTATTAATGCCTTAAATGCGGGAGCTGAGTGTAACATATCAGCATTTGCTGACAATGTAATATATGTTGGAAAAATTTGCAGAGGGATACAAACAGGTTGCAGGAGTAGGCCAGAACAAGGAAAATGTAATACAATGTTGTAAAATGTGAGGTTACACATTTTGGTAGGAAAAATAGAAAAAAAAATCAAATGGTGAGATACTAGGAATGGTTTTGAATTTAGATGGACCTAGGAGTATTTGTACATGAATCACAGAAAATCATCATGAAGGCATAGCAAGCAACAATGAAGGCAGATGGTAATTTAGCTTTCTGTTACAAAGAGATTGGAGAAAAATCTCTTCTTACAATGAAAAAGGGCATTGATGTGGTGATATCTGGAGTATTACGCACAGTTCTGGTCTCCGTACCTAAAGGAGGATATACTTGTTCTCGAGGAAACGTCACAAAGACTCTCTACACTGATATAGAGGCAAAATACTGCTAATACTGAAGATCTGAAATAAAACAGAGTTTGATGGAGAAACTCAGCAGGTCTGGCAGCATTTGTGGACAAAGAAACAGTCACTGTTTCACGTACAATATTTGAGACCACTGAGTTGAGCCATTCTTCTTTGAAGAAGAGTCAAACTGGACTTGAAATATTAATGTTGTTTCTCTCTACAGATGCTGCCAGATCTGCTGAGTTTCTCTAACACTTTCTGCCTCTTTTTCATGAGATCCATCCCTGAGGTGAGGGGCTTGTGCTGTGAGAATGGAAATAATTAGACTCAGTTTACAAACCCTTGAATTTAGAAGTATGAGAAGTCATCCAATGGAGATGTAACATTCTGAAGGAATTTGATGCAGAAAATCTGTTTCCTCTGGCTGGGGAATCTAGAACACACAGGCTATAGTCTCTGCATAAAGGGTCAGCTATTTAACACTGAGATAAAGATAACCTCTTCAATCAAATGGTTACGAATTTTAGGAATTCGCTGTCTCAGAGAGCCATCGATGCTCAGCAATTAAGTATAAATGCAGAAGTAATAGATCTTTGGATAATAAATTAATTAAGAATATGGGGATGGTGTGATAATGTGGAGTTGAGATGGGAAATCAGCCATGATCTTATTGAATGGGAAAGTAGGTTCAAAGTGGTAAATGACCTTCTTCTGCAACTATTTCTTATGCTCTGTATTTGGTTTCCTCACATAGTGGAGAATATTGAGACTTTGAAAACCGTTCAAATGAGGATCACCACCTTCATGTAAGTAAACATAGGTGATTTGACAGAGGCTTATAAAATTAAACAGCTGGATTATTTTTATGGACCTCGTTTGCCTCAAACTTAGATTAATATGTTAAGTAGATCTTTTTTGTCTTGAGAAATTGTACCTACAGAATGGCTCCTGGTGGACTGGGGATGTCTGTATGGTAATGGTTTAGCCAGCATTATAGGATAGACTAGAAGAACACGTGGATCTTTTAAATTCAATTTCGGTGATGGGAGTAACTGGTCATTTTATAATACGATTTGCACACTGGAGATCAGATACTATTTACAAAATTACCTTTTCCTTTAGATAACATTGTCATGTGAGAAAAATGGACTACTGATTTTCAAACTCTGTTGTCTGATTTTAATGCCTGGAACCTCAATAGACTCAGATGATTTTAAAAAGGAAAAAGAAAATACTGATTGAAAATGGCCACATCAATGGGCTGACCACACATTCATCTAATCAAAGGATGTTGAAGACTAGTCAACCCAGTCAGGTGTGAAGGTATTCTCATTCCATTTTGATCTACACCTATATGATTAGTTTCACATACTGAAGATGAAAGACACTTCCAACTATTAAGCTTGGAAACAAGAAGCTTAGACATTGGAATATACAATGCAGGCAGTTGTTTTTGGCAGAGTAGGGGATATGGATGTGTGACTGGAGTCAGCTGCGAGAAATGCTTTCTCAGTCTCAACAAGGAAATGCTTGGTGATAAGAGTTGATTGAAAAGAAACATCAGGACACCAAGAATTTAAGGTCACCTGAAATATTCACTACTGTTGAGGATAGAAGACATCAATTAAACAACAAGGTCTTGGATTAGAACTATACATGTCAAGAACACTAACAGCTGTAAACTGTACATTTGTTTCAGTTTTCTTCTGAATTTGACACTAATCCTTCCCAACATTGTTCCATTTGTCCATCCCAGGCTCCTGTTACTTGTCATCAGCCTCCAGGTATAGCATTCCATCTGTAGTATTTTGCTCTCCTATCGCACAAGATAAGGTTGCATTCCCCAGATCTCACTCCATCACCTCACTGCCAAGATGACCAAGTCTTGTGACACTATTCCCACCCCACCTTGTTTCAACAAAACATGCTCTCCCACAGGTGTAACCATTTGATGCGGTGTTACTTGTAACCTTTCAATCAAATGTTGGAACAAGATTTGAAATAAGATGATACCATGACATGACCTTTACTGTAAAGAATTAATATATCTCAGGCTATGAACATGGCAAGTTTTCTCTCCACTATGTAACCCAAAGAGTAAGTCAAATTTCTAAAAATGAAAACACCGATGCCACAAATTCAAAGATCATAGAATTTGGCTTAAAGGTACAAATTTAGCTTTAGATTTTAGAAGCCACCAGCTGCTAAAGACATTCATATTTAAAAAGTCACACAATATGTTACTACTACTTCCTTCTTTCCATTATATCCAAATCACCGAACTCAAGAAGGAAACATAAAATATTCCATCTTAGATACTGTCATTGATGTGATCAATTGGGTTTTCAGAAAGTACACTTGAGGATATGAAATCGAATTTCCTTCCCTCACTTTGTAAACTGCTTGCTTTTATACTAGTACACTCAAAACAGAACAATAATATTCTAAGAGACAGTCAAATAATGGACACAAAGTCACTATATGTGTTAGCTGAAGTGGTTTAAAGTTTCATCAGCGAGATGAGTCTTAAGAAAGCTCATAGAGACTGTAAATGATTTGGAGAGGGAGAAAAGTTTCAGAAGTGAACTGCAGAGTATGAACCATAGCTAACTAAGAAGAACTTCCAATAAAGGGGACAAAGAAGGGGAGGAATGCACAAGGAGTCAGACTCCAAATGACTGATGAATTGAAAGGATGGATGAGGTTACAGAGATAGGAAAGGATAAATTCATATTGTTAATCTGACCATTTGTTACAGCATTCAATATTTGGAAATTCAATCCAAAAATGTCAGTCAACACTGGGATCTGAACTCCTGTCTTAATGTCAATGTTTCAGCATTATCACAGAGTGGTCACATATTTCCAACTTAACTGTAAATTCTATCAATGTGACAGTCTTACCTGTTTGTACAAAGCTGGGATCTATGACATCTTCACAGTAAAAGGTTTTGAAACACAGAGGGAGCTGCTTAACATCTTGAGGGAGTTTATCCATAGCTTGCCGGAATACAACAGCTAGTTCATGGAGCATACTCTTCAGATTTAAAGAGTTCACTGATGGTGGCAGAAGACTTACAGCCAATGAGATAGCAGCACTTGACTTCAAACTTGACACAATCACCTCACAGTCAATTGCATAACCATCAGATTTCTTACTTATGATAAAAGATTTCCTCTCACAGGGATCATCAGTAACAGCAATGACGTGCCATTCCACTGCGGCATCTTTTGGTAGATGAGGGAACACAGCTACTATTAGCAGGCCCGAAACAGACTTTGTCTCTCCATAAATTTGATCCTGAAATTCATAATGAAAACATATTAGAAAAATAAGCTCATGCACACACATTTACAGGTTTGAAGCATCTCCGAACAATTCTTATAAGACTCCTGCAATCTGGGAATTAGAAACCAAAATTACTTCAAAAATTGCTTCCTTCACAATCTTCTAATGGATCCACTGAGTTGGACTGATCAGCTACCTGAGAAATGCACAACATATGATTCACAATCTTCTGTGCAGTACCATGCCTGCCCTTATCATTTCCATTTAGCAAACTTTAAACATTTTTGCATACTTGTAAAAATAAACAAAAAAAAGCAGCAAGAATTAAAGTTGGAAGTCACAGCAATCTATGGTAAATGCAGTCATATGAATTTAGTACATCAATCCTAATTCATGGGAATACAAAGATACTGCCAGGTTCACCTCTGAAGATAGCTGTAAGTTCACTTGTGCCAATCATCATTTGAATGTAAATACACGCAGTGAGTGGAAATATCATTCTTAAAAATAAATATAGCTGAACCAACTTTTTTCATGAGGAAACAGAACTGTGGATTGCATATTTTAATTTAAATTTAGAGATTTATGATCTAAACAGGAATTCCAGAATATTCACCGATTGGTTGAAATTCACACAAATTAACATGCAACAGCAGAAATGGTGACAGGAAGATCTTAAATTTTCCCTGAGATTAACGTTCCTGAGTAAGGCACAGTCATGACTGGACCAAATGGGGAGATGCCAAGCACACGCTGATTGAATCCAGTCTTACTTGAATAGTTCCTTGACTCTGTATCAGTCCCACATTCCCACAATACAGAATTAATTGCTTACATTAACTGCGCCATGCTAAACTGTATCCATGGAATTTCATTTCTGAGAATAAAAACAAATCAAAAACATGCTGAGCACGGTTCTGTAAGTATCAGTTGCCCTAGCTAGCTTAACCAAGTGACCATTATTCATCTGACAGCACTGGCAAAATACTAGCATGCTGTTCAACTGTGGAATGTGTTGAAACTAAGCCTTATAGTCTTCACACATTTTTAGAGATAAAAACAATGTTAACAGTTCTCCCTCTATAGATGCTGCCAGACCTGCAGCAGTTCTCTAGCACCTTCTGTTTTTATTTCAGCCCTCCACGGTCCACACTATTTTGACGAAGGGTCTGAGGAAGGGTCACCAGACCCGAAACGTTAACTCTGATTTTTTTTCTTCACAGATGCTGCGAGACCTGCTGAGCTTTTCGACCTACTTCTGTTTTTGTTCCTGATTTACAGCATCCGCAGTTCTTTTGGTTTTTATCCACAATACTTTGCTTTTATCTTATAGTCTTCTCCTCACTTTGTTACAACACACTTTATATGTATTAATGCTTGAAATACTTAGGTTTTGATGGATTAAGGGAGAGGAATTTATGTCAAGTCTTGTGGACACACCTGGAAAGTTTTCTCAGTGTGGGCCTTCCATTTTTTTTTGCAAGGCTTCCTAGAAATCACATGATTGATGCTTTGCTGTAGACCCCACTGAGGTTGTTTCAACAGTGACTGGCCTGCACTGACTGTTCCTTGCCTCATCTAGTTCAGTTGGAGGAAAATTTGCTCAGAATCCACTAAATTGGAGAAAAGCTGGCTAAGAACAAGTTAATTTGGAGAAAAAAAAACTTGCTATAAAGAACTGCTCAGCTAATACCTTCCATTTCTGAAATACAGCTCTCTACAGTGGTTCAGGATAAAAACTATTGAGTGGGATGGGGAGTTAAAATGGTTGGCAACTCCCCCTCACGCTCCCTGGGGTGACATGTCCATCCTGGGCCTCCTCCAGTGTCCCAATGACACCACCTGCAAACTGGAGGAGCAGCACCTCATATTCCACCTCAGGAGCTTACAGCCCAATGGCCTAAACATGGAATTCACCAGTTTTAAAATCTCCCCACCCCCAACCTCATCCCATGACCAACCCTCCCTCTCATCCCCGCCTCCTTTACCTGACACAACCTGTCCATCTTCTCTCCCACCTATCTGCCCCTCCCACCTCACTGACTAATCCTCACTGACTAATCCCCACCACTCCCTACCTGCACTCACCTATCAGCATCCCAACGAGCTTCCCCAGCCCCACCTTTCCTCTCTCTATTTATTTCTGAGCTCCCTTGCCCCTCCCCATTTCTGAAGAAGAGTCCTGACCCGAAACATCAACTTTCCTGCTCTTCTGATGCTGTCTGGCCTGCTGTGTTCCTCCAGCTCCACACTGTGTTGTCTCTGACTCCAGCATCTGCAGTTCTTGCTATCTCATTTTATTTTATGCTGCGACCCATGGTGTAGTGGCACAAGAATGATGATGCATTCCTCCAGGCTCATTTGTAACAACCTGAGTACCACACATTCACGTTCAAATGAATTTCTGAGAGGAATTAAGCAGCAGAAACACTGGTCATCTTTCCCCTTCCTAACCCAAAACAGCAGAGGCAATTCCAACACACTGCTGCCACCCGGGCAGAGTTCCATTACCTTAGTTCTGAGCAGGGATCAAACATGAAACCTTATGAGCTCTTTTAATACAAGAGCTTCTTTGTGCAATAAACTTAATATTATATCAATCATCAGGTCTACTGATAAGTACAGGGACTGAGGCAAAGTTAATTTACCAGTAGAACTGCAATGGAAGTTGAAACCTATGGATGTTCCTGCTGAGTATGTTAACATGAGGTTCATACAATGGATTTACTGATTGATGTACCAATGATCTCATTTAGAATTAAAGGCAGCAAAATTAGGATATTTCAAAGCTAACAACCCAGATGGAATGGTAGCATCCCCACCTCTGAACTAAGTCGTCCAGGTTCAGGTCCTACCTACTACTCTTTTCATGTAAAGAACATGGATTTTCATAGGGCTTTTTTTAATAAGCACTAAACTTTGAGACAAACACAGATATCTAAGTAATTTTTAATATTCTTTAAATTAGTTTCAACAAAATGTTAAGTAACCTGAACGGGCTACCCTGCTCAGTAACGAAGAGTGTTTTCTCAAATCATTGAAAAGAACTTCACTCTCGCCATTGTACATTTCACGACACTTTTCATCTCAAACCACTTAACTGGCAATCTTGCCTCGTAAAAGCTTTAATCTAATAGTTGAGTGTTTTAAAACTGGTATTAACTATAGTGGCAACACAGCTAGGGACCTAAATGTGACCCTCAAGAAAAATTGGGCCAGGCTTTGAAAATAATTTTCGCACTTGCTGTCTTAAAACTGGGCAGGAATGAAATCAACAAATTACCAAGCAAAGAAAAAACTGTACACCCATCAATAAGGGCACAACATTTATCCCTCTTTCAACTTACAGGATCAATTTTCATCCACTTGCACTTTGTGAGTGGTGCATAATAATAGGTTACACATACTCCATTTCGCAACTCAGCTACTAAATTACTGTAAAGAATACCCACAGCATTTTTCTGCAGTGAAATACATTGCTGCTTGATTGTAGTGTACTGTTTAAATGAAAATCACCATCACTTATGGATTAAACGTTAGGAGAGACTAATTGTATATCAACAGCAAACAATCACGCAAGTATGCTTGCTCTGTGAAGAATGGCAAAAAATAGAAATGATTTTACCTCAAATTGCTAGCACTTCACACACAATAACATTTTATAGAGAGCAGTTTGCTTTTGGTGTATTAGGTATAGCGGGAAAACAGTATAAAGTGTAAAGTTACCAACAGACAAATGTTACATTAGCACTTACACAGGCAAGCTACTCTCCTTCAGGAGACAAATTCTATCCTTGTCAATATTAATTTTACTCCAAGTGGTAGAAAACAGTTTGAAAAGATGAAAATTAGAGCTCTGTGCTGGAAAAAGCCAAGCTCATTCAAGCTTAAAGGCCATTTTGTTGGCCCAAGGTGCTGAGGTGCAGCTTGAAAACATTTCTACAACTTCCAGGTCAACCCATTCATCTATAGTAAACTTTGTTTTTTTTTATTCAACCTGCCACAAGTTTTAATGTCAATACTTTTCCACTTAAACAGAATTTTCTCAAAGAAATAAAAATATTGTGCAGCACTTGAGCAATTCTTTAAAACTGATTTTTAAAGACAGAATAAGGAATAATGTTAACAAGAAAGTATGTGGTTTTCTTAAGAAAAAGATCAAAATATATCTTCTGTAAAGTCAAATGTTTCTGATGTTTCTCATCAATTTTAACTTATTGCAAGCAGCATTTTGTTTTCTGGAGGCAAGTCAAACTACATCAGAAATGTCCTCCAGCTAAGACAGCAAGCCAGACTGAGTCCAGTGGCTGCTGCACTCTCAGATGTTGTTCAGATGCTAGACAGCAGGAGGCAGGATTCAAGCTGAAATGTCAGCTTTCCCAAGTTACGATGTTGCAGTCTAAGAACTGTTGCAAATGCAACAAATTAATTACAGAAACAGAAGTTTGCAGGCTCGTTAATGGTGGCTGCCAATGAAGCACAAGCTTGTGTCAGATTATTTGTCAAAGTCCAAATGAGTACAGCTTCTCAATCTTGGCTTGGCAGTTACTAAGATTCACTTGGAGTTGCCTCTGTTGGTCAAGGTTACATATTTCCACAACATGTCCATCTGTTTAGTGGAAATCAAGGAACATGGGGAATCAAGGAAGGTGTAGTTGATAGAAAAGATCAGATACAAGCTTATCTGATTTCAGAGCAGACGGGAGGGACCAAATCACCTGCACTACTTCAAATTCTTATGTTCTTATCATCAAATACAACGTGAGGCTAGAACTTGAAAGGGATGTAAAATCAGGCACTGGATATATTTAAATTTACAACAGAAAAGCTGAAAAAAAATCACGATTGATATGACAGATATATGCATCATTTCAAGATAATGGGGAATCATTTCAATGCCGCCACCACCCGCTCGGTACCCCAGTAGAATGATTTGCATTGCGGGGGATGGGGGGGATCACCAATTATAGATCTGTTCACCCCCTTTGACCTGGTCACCAACCAGGTGGCAA